CGTGTGCAGGAGGCCCAGGAGTTATCTTGTTCACAGCATGTTTTAATTAATATAGACAAAAGTTAAAACAGAAAAATAAAACAAGCAGTTAAATAAAAATGGAAATTTACAATGTCGGTATTTAAGGATGATATATAGGTATGTTTTGTTACATCGTAAAAATACGTAGGGACATAATGGAAATTATTGAACATTAAATATTATGACGTATGTGAGTCTCGACGAAATCGAACATCTAACGACGCATACAGTTTTTTTTGGCCATTTTAGTGAGAAGTTAGCTGTGTGTCCATAGTCTTGACAGTTGACCTCATGTTTTATAGGGAATCATAATATATTATGTTTTTTTTAAGGTATTTAGTGCAGGTTTTCATACATAGATTATTAATTATATTGAGTTCATTAAATTCTTCAAATAATTTTTTAACAATATATTATTTAATATAGGTAATATTGTACGAAATACCTACTATATATGTCTATATTGTGTACCTATTTGTTCTCAACACTAGGATGGATAAATGCATATTATAATGTAATAATATATAGTTCAATAGTGCAGTGTTTATCAAGGTCTCCCGTAGGTAATGATATCAATTAGGAAACCGTTTTTATAATGTCTTGCAGCAAAACGCAATCGCGCGATGCAACAAGTGGGGGCGCTGTCGGCGAACATCCGTAACGAATATAATAGTAACGGAAAAATAAAAAAAAAAAAAAAGGAAATCAACTACGTTACGGTGTTGGCCAATCTTGCGAAAAAAAAACGAAACGAAAAACGAAAATGTCATTACTTTCGTGTGACACAATCTCTGCCGGTCGCGTACTTGTCATTCAGCGACGTCCCTACGGCTCGGACGGTTGCGGGCCATCGGTCTGCTCGAACCTTTTGTCGGCCACCGCCGCCGGTCGTTTTATCCGTCTCCGATCGGCATACGCATTATACCTACACGTCTCTTCTGCCTGTATATTATATAGGTATATGGCTGATTAGGCTACCCGGCATAACGTTATTATTATGCGAGTCGGTATGATTAGTATTCGTCGAAAATATCATCTCGGGACACCTTGAACATTACGGCGACGATACTCTGTAACGTTTTGGTCGTCGGCCAAACGTACATATAATATAATATAATATAGAAGTTGTAATAATAATAATGACATGATAATACTGTTTTTATCATAATATTATTATATTGTACGACGCGTATACACGATGTTATTGTGGTCTACATGCACATCTACCCGCCGCGTATTATTGTTGTTTTTCGCAATCTATAAAAACGAGGAAGAAGCCTCGGGGATCCCTCCCCGTCAAGGGGAGGCGGGGGAGGGGGGTCCGGCGTCGGACTCATGAGTTATTGTTCGTCGTGTAACGACAAGGCCGCAATCATCACGAGTCCTATTTACCAAATGCGTTAATTGTAACACGGCCGATACGGCGAGAGCCGCTGCAGTGGCGCTGGCTAGTATGTGTATATATATTATAATATGATATTATATTATTATAAATATATATGTGTGTGTACGAGAAGCGCACACGAGCGTCAAATTACAGTGATTACTGAGCCGCGGAGGAGTCGACGGTGGACGAGAGGAGAGAGTGAGAACACGCGCGGCGGCGGCGACGACGACGTCGGCCTTGGCAACCAAAATGATTTGTCAGCGAGACGATCCGACTGCGAATAGGTACCTCTACCTACCTACATATATATATACGTATAACCGGCACACGAAATCTCATTAACGGTGAACTATATTATATTATATATTTGGTATATTAGGTCGGTATAGGTACCTGTATACAATATGCATTAGGTACCTACGTTATTACATTAGGTATTATATTATTATCATTATAATGTTTTACGCGCGTCCTATTAGCGCCGATAAACGCAAGTAAAAATTCGCCCGCGGATAGGGTTTAGCTGGTATCTACACATAATGTTTTAGACTACGAGACAACATATCTGCACAGAATAGGTGAAACCCATATCACCTATTCCGTGATCTGACTACCAATATCTTTATTGTTTCTGTTCGTAATAAGTACTAATAACGAATTAAATTAGATTTAGAGAAGCTATCGTTCTCTGAATTAAAAAAATTGTGATTAATGTCACATACCTGTTGAGAGGACGCTATACACAGATATTATAATCGTTGTCTCCGCCGTATACAAGTTTACGCTCAGAAGATCACTTTTAACACCGTCAGTGTACACATTAGAGAGAATGGCTTGAAACTCAATGAAAAGAACATTATCTGTGTTTATATGTGTGTTTTTAAGATGATTTAGTTTTTAAGTGAGTTATGAACATTTTTAATTTATGCTAAACTATACACGTATAACTTGTTAAAAAATTTAACTGTCGTTTTTAGATTACTCATCTTCAATGTTGACAAACATTTTTTAAAACCTGCAAATGCCAACATACCTATTGAAGACTGTGTTTGCGCCTAAATAACCTTTTTTGCACCCATGTACAATAACCTCAATTGCGCTTGGTAAAATTAAAATACGTTAAAATACTTGTTCGTGGCCAGTTACATTATAAATCAAAAAATTGGGCAACATCGCAGTAAAACTTAATTTCTCGTCCCACTTTTTTCAGACTTCGAACTGACAGAATAAAATTATATATTATAATAATTATTGAATTATTCTGGTGTGGTTAAAAATTGTGCTTTACTGCTCTGTTGCGTCATTATTTAGCACCATTTATTACTGCCCCACCACTTTAGTCCACATTAGTCGGTGTAGACTGATTTAAATGTTTTTATATCCTTTTCATATCGTTAGTAACTTTTAGTTCCGAAATTTTTTAAGCATTGTAAGGAAACAATTTAAAAACTATAACTTAGAAAAATGTCTAAGATAATAATATAATAATCTAATATAGCTATATAATCTATTCATGAACATTAGAGGAAGGACGCCGAACACAGCAGAACGAAGCGTAAAAACATGGTCCGGAATTATCGCATTCCGCCAGAATGCGCGTCGGACCGTAATGATGTCGTTTTTACATAGTGTATAGCATAGGACATTTAATGGTTTTTTATTTTTATAATCTAAATGGTGAAATTTATGAATAATTACTATAGAACATTTTTTTAAAACCAAATTACCCTCGATCGAATATAAGTGTTTCCAATAATATACGACTTTTATAAAAAGAGACAACAACTATATCTTTTTTTATAAAAGTCGTATATTATTGGAAACACATATATTCGATCGAGGGCAATTTGGTTTTAAAAAAATGTTCTATAGTAATTATTCATAAGTTACACCATTTAGAATATAATATTAAAAAACCAATAAATTCCCTATGCTGTACATGTAAAAACGACATCATTACGGTCCGACGCGCATTCTGGCGGAATGCGATAATTCCGGACCACTTTTATATACACAGTTCGGCGTCCTTCCTCTAATGTTCATGAATCTATTATAGCTTATAATATATAAAGTTTTTCTTTTCATAGATTTAATAATTTTTTTTTCCAAAGAATATTGCAGTTTCTTAGTGATAGGCTAAGAAACCACCGTCGCGTCGTGAATTACTTCTGCAGCTAGAAAATATCTCGTTGCAGTGTACATACAAGTCGTGTTCAAATTTTGGGAATAGCCGAATTCCAAACGTAGTGATGGGATATTTTCATGCAAAAATAAAATTATATGTTAAATGTATATTTTGTATTTTCTTTACTTATACTTTCAACTATAAGATATAAGTGTAGGTAATTATTTAGGTAATTTTTGTTTCATCGATGATCACTATCTTTGAGAGAACTTTTAGTGCGGCAATAAGAATTTTGGTGGCCCTTTTGACCTTTTATTATATGATAGCATTAAAAAGTGTATGTATTGGGCATTGGCCCCTGCCAGTTTTAAAATCACTGGGATATAGCACTTAATAAATAACCCACCTTTGGATTCTCTATACAAAAATGAAATTGAAGACGAAATTATAAAATTATAAATCAAGTCACAGCAGTTTCTATTTTTTAATAATTTATAATATTTCTGATTTCATTAATTTTCTGTATATTCTGTATAAGTGTATAAGTAATTAAGATTGGAATAATATGAGCCAACGTCATTTGCACACGGCTGTGACTAACACAACCATACTTTTATAAAAGAATATGACATACTATTTTTGAATTAATTGTTTTTTTTCCTTATGTTATAATATTGGTGGACGCCGCTTGAAACACGGCCCCGCGACCTAATGAGGCGACCGGTCACGTCTCTTTTAGGAAATTGATTAAATCCTCAATCACAGAACTCCCAATTCAAGAGGTTATAATATGACTAACACGATACATATAAGACGTATAGTACTTACATATCGTAATATTTTTTTATGAAAGAATATATTTATTATAAGGCATCATATGAGACTATACAAGTTGAACGGAGTCTGATAAAGGAATTGTATTTTTTAAAGGTATTATCATAAGGTTTTGATTAAAGAAATTATTGTTATTTCTACTCATTTTCATTTATGTCAAACTAACAAATGTCGGCATGCAAATGACGAAGGCGTTTCTGTGGAATCTGATGTACCTGAATTATTATTTATTGAATTAAGAGAACCAACGAGAATATGCATTAAAAATGTTATGGGTTATTATCATTCTGCTAGTAAAAATGGAATGTTTAAACTTGGTGATGGAGATTATAACAATGCTACAAAACGGGAATATTAATGAGTATAATAAAAAATAGTATTATGATATCTTTGAATATGTGTGTACTACCAAAAGGGGAAATGAAACTAAAATAAAAATAGTATAGAGGCCGCCATCCCCCGACTGGGCATGGCTGAAACCTACGGGTGCCCAATTTGAAATTCTGCCAAGACCAAATCACACCTGTTGCTAACCAACCGTACCAACCATACCAACCGTTCCAACCGTAACCCCGACTAACCCCTACAATAGCTAATGGCCATAGTTTCCGGGCTCTATACCAATAAAACGTTATGAACTACAACGTGGTTCATGGTAAAGCTACCAACAACTCGGAATTGTACAAGATCGAGATCCTTCTCAACTCAAACATTTTTGTTGAAAAACCACATTTACCAAGAAGCCCGCGACAGTATGTATGCCAGTATTACGGACATACTCGAAAATACTGCTACCATGACCCACAATGTGTAAGATGTGAGGAAAACCACTTCTCAAATTCCTGTACCAAGTCACTCGACTCTCCAGCCAGATGTCCTCTATGCAATAGTAGCCTCACACAGCCATCTGAAAAGGTTGCCACAACTTTAAAATACTTAAACGTTTTAATTCTCCAATTAGGCGAGATCCTCTTATACCTACTCCTGTACCTATAAACAAACCTATTTAACCCTCTTTTGGTACCAATCAACCATCTTATGCTCAAATCACTTCCTCTGGTAAAAATTATTCTCAACCTTATTCAAGTATTGAAACATTAATCGTATTAATCTTAAAAATATTATTCTGTATCTTTTTTTTAATAGGTGATTTTACTCTAAGATTACTTATAAACATAGAAAAGATGATTCTGAATTAATGCGTTTTGTCTATGTGGCGCATGGACCAGAGAGAGAAAACAAATATTGCGCTGACATTCTCATAAATCCGTGCAGCTAAATACTTCATCAGTGGTTATGTATGGTGTTGGTGTATACCATAATATATAATTTTTAGTTGACGTAATTACGTACATTTCATACTACAATATTTTCATATTTATTTTATAATTATAATATATTATTATGTAATATGTTAATGACCAAGCCGTTGTTCTAATTATATTTAAGACTATATTCTATAATCTGAATAGTATTGTTTTTTTTTTTTTTTTTTTTTTTTTTTTTTTTTTTAATACAAAATAAAAAAAAAAAAAAAAAAAAAAAATCACAGTACGAGTGTCACAGCCGACCGATACACACGTGTGTAACAGTCTGTCGCTTATCGCATTTTTAGCTACCGATAGCAGTAACCCGAACTTCACTGCAGTCTAAGAGGTATGTTTATTGATTACGGCCCCCCATAATCATAGCCGACAACAGCACTCTCGAGGCCGTCCAATATGTTGGACGACTACGACAACAACCTCCCTCCCCTCTCCACGTCCAACCACCCACAAACAACCTCACAAAGAACCTTTGCAGAAACTACCGCAAATGAATCATTTCCCAAAAAAGACCAAGCAATAATCTTTAACACGATCCAAGATATTCCACAAATTGAATATATCAAAGCTTTCAGCCTACTTACGGCCCCTAAGAATATAAAATTTGCATCACGCGTCTCGAACAACAGGTTCTGCATATACTTTTCAAACAAAATCATCGTCGATCAAATCATCGAAAAACAACCCTTCATAACTATAAACAAAACAGAAATACCGTACCGCCGGCTTATCAACCCGGCCAAACGTATAATAATATCCAATGTCCAGCCGATAATCCCACACGACACAATCGCAAATGCAATTAACGCTCTCTCCATTACAATGTTATCGCCAATTACGTTCATGAAGGCCGGCTTCCCTAACGACGATTTCAGCCATATAGGAAGCTTCAGGCGTCAAGTGTTTATACACCCTGAGCACAGTGACAAAATTCCGAGCTCTATCCTACTACATTTCGACCAAACCGAATATCGCGTATTTCTATCAGACGACACAGTGACATGTTTTTCATGTAAACAAACGGGTCACACATCGAATCACTGCAAAAATGGAGTAGTAAATACAGCCGTATCAATTCTATTCAATAATACAAACATCGCCACAGATAAAAACATCGAAACCACACACTCCTTATATGATATAAGTACCGAAGACAAACCCAAGGAAAATACTCCCTCCTCTACCACCTCACAGAAACCAGCTGCCCAGGTAAAAAGACCGGCACCTTCAACAACCAGTTCTAGCTGCCAGGAAAACACCCCCACTGAAAAACCGCCAAACAATTTAATACCACCACAAGTAGAAACTACAATTACACAGGCAACCAAAGGAACACTTGCATCTAAATTAAAGGATTCTTCCAAAACACCAACCCCCCTACAAAAAAAACCAAAACGCTCAAACTCGATCGAACAAATAATAATTAAACTTGAAGAAGCATTGCTACCTGCAAAAGTCGCCTTTGAAAAAATACCTAACTTAAAAATCGATTTCAACCAACTTAAATATATCATCGAAAACTCACTTACCGAAAAAAACATCTCCAGTATCTTATCGCCATTCAACATCTCATCCATGGAAATGATCGAGATTATTGATACAGTCCGGCCGAAAGTTAAATCTCTATGCATCAAGAATAGACTCACGAGACTAGCCGATACACTTCTCGATATGTCTCCCTTCACCAGCTCCACCGATTCCACCCTAATCTAAAAACATCAAATACTAACAATCCAAACTATACCGCCAAATTAAGTTCCTCACAATGCAAAACCTAAATATAATACAATGGAATCTTAATGGTTTCTACAAAAAAATAAACGAACTTAAAATATTAATAGCCGAGTACTCTCCCGACCTCATATGCCTACAAGAAACCAATTTTACCGACAAATCTCATACTGATCTACGGAACTACACAAGCTACACTCAACACAGAACCAACGGTTTAAGAGCCAGTGGTGGAGTCGCAATTTACGTCAAGACATTTTTTCCCAGCAAACAAATAAACATAAATACACATCTTGAGGCTATCGCAATCTCGGTACAACTCAATGAAACAAATTTAAATATATGTAATTTGTATCTACCCAATCAGACTAAAATTGAATTATTCGACATAGAAAATATCACCAAACAACTTCCTAAGCCATTCATTATATTAGGTGACTACAATGCACATAGCACAACATGGGGGTCCGAAAAAACTGACTATAGAGGTAAGATAATTGAAAAACTATTAGAAAACGACAATATGGTATTGCTAAATGACACCTCCCCTACCCATATCAATATAGCAAATGGTAACCTATCCTGCATCGATCTAACCATGTGCACATCCACCTTAGCCCAAAGACTCAAGTGGAAAGTGCTACCTGATATTTACAGCAGCGACCACCTACCAATACTCACTTACTTCATCCCCAGGTTAGGAGACACAAATAAAAATAAAAGTCGCAGATGGAATCTAAAAACGCCAAACTGGTCACTATTCAGCGACATCATAGAATTTGAAATTACTAAAATACAACACAATGATCATTCAAACATCGAAAACACAGTCAAAACTTTCACTGACATGATTACATCAGCTGCAAATATAGCAATAGGTAGTTCTATAAACCTCACTAAAAAACCCAAAGTTCCCTGGTGGAACGACGAAATCAAAAGAGCTATTCTCAATAAAAAGAATGCCCTAAATACATATAAAAAACATAAAACCTTAGAAAATTTCATACAATTAAAAAAACTTCGTGCTCAAGCCAAATTTCTCATTAAAAAAAGCAAAAAAAATTCATGGAAAGAATTTACATCAAGCATCAACCCCAAAACCAACTCACACATGATATGGAACAAAATTCATTCATTAAAAGGTCTAAATAGAAATCAAGAAATACACATAACCGACGCACAAGGAACAACATCATCTCCAAAAGATGTTGCTGAAAAATTCGGCACATACTTCCAAGCTAATTTTAGCAATGACATTTACAAACAAGATTTCATAGACGAAATAAAAATACCATCCGAAAACTCACCAATAACCTCCACAATAAACCCATGCAACAGTGAACAAATTGACCTGAACTCTAATATAACACTCAACGAAATGGAAACTGCCCTTAAAAAATGTCTGAGCAAAAGTCCAGGCCCCGACAGCATACCTTATTGTTTTATAACTAACCTCGGTATAACAGCAAACAAATTCCTATTAGATATATACAATAATATATGGCACTCAGGAACTATACCAGATGAATGGAAAAAGGGAATAATAATTCCTATTCTTAAACCAGGAAAAAAGAAACATTCCACTGATGGATACAGACCCATAACACTACTAAATACAATGACAAAAGTTATGGAAAAGATCATAAACTTAAGACTTATATGGTTTCTAGAAAAAAACGAAATATTATCCAAAGAACAAAGCGGTTTTCGCCACGCCAGATCAACAATGGATAACCTAATAATAATAAAAACAGAAATCGAAAACGCATTCAAACACAAACAAATCCTCGGTATGATCAGTCTTGATATAACCAAGGCCTACGATTCCGTATGGAGACACAGAATACTAACTATACTAAGCAAAATTTTAACAAGCGGCAACATGTTCAAATATATATCAAACTTCCTAAAAGAAAGACAATTTCAGGTCAAAGTATCAAATACCTTATCCAATACGTTCTATCAAGAAAACGGTATTCCACAAGGATCCTCTCTGGCAGTTACATTATTTCTCTTAGCTATTAATGATATCGTTGAAACAATACAAGTTCCCGTAATATCCAACCTCTATGCAGACGATTTCAACATACTATGCAGAAGCAATAACCTAAATACAGTGCAAGAGTTTCTCCAAAAAAGTGCGAACAACTTATCAGATTGGTCAAAAAAAACAGGCTTCTCATTCTCTAACCTAAAATCACAAAGCATCATCTTCACAAAACGAAGGAAAATAAAACCCCTAAAAATAACACTAGACAACCTCGTCATACCCAACCAAGATAAAATAAAAATACTAGGAATTACATTCGACTCCAAACTAAATTGGTTACCTCACCTTAAAAACATCCGTGATTCACTATCTCAAAAACTCAATATAATTAAAATAATTTCACATACAACTTGGGGTGGGGACAGCTCTACCCTTTTAATGATCTATAGAGCTTTAATCAGATCAAAAACAGACTATGGCTCAATATTATTCAACAATGCTAACACCTCCCACTTAAATATGATTCAAACCAAACTCAATACTGCCATAAGATTATCAATCGGGGGATTTAAATCCAGCCCAATTGAGAGCATTAGAAACATCGCCAACGAAATTTCCCCTAAACTCAGAAGGGAAAAACTACTTCTATTGCATTGTGCCAGAACCAAAAGAAATACAAACAACCCAGCAACCAAAATAATAAACACATATATACAAGAAGCTGAAAAAGAAAATATAAAAATAAACAACATTCTAGATAGAAAACCCTATAACTTTCCCCCATGGAACACGACATTCAACGTCAACCTCTCACTAACAAATTTCAAAAAAGAAAACACAATTCCCTCCATATATAAAAACATGCTTCAAAATATACTGCAAGAGCATCCAAACAGTGTACAAATTTATACTGATGCCTCCAAAACCAACAACGGAGTCGGGGTTGCAATGATAGTAAATAATCAAAAAATAACATATAAACTTCCTCCCCAAGCCTCAATATTTACAGCAGAAGCGATTGCAATATACAAAGCAGCCAAATATTTCCACTCAGAATGCGTAAGCCCCGAAACTAAATGCATAATTCTTAGCGACTCACTAAGCAATCTAATAGCAATCACAAATACAAGTAACCCGCCCGATACCACAAAGCTCATCCAAGAAGAAACCTTCCAGGCTGGCAAAAAAGGGAAACAAATCCTATTTGTATGGATTCCTGGACATAGTGGTATACTGGGAAACGAAATAGCGGATAAAGAAGCTCATACGCAATAGACTCAACATCAACCACAAATATAAATTCCATCACATTCGACGACGCGAAAATCGTAATCAACACTTACATAAACAATAAATGCCACTCCCACTGGCGACAACTTAACACTAAACTCAATCAAATTAAAAATAACACCAACCTATGGAAAAATTCCGGACTTAGTAGAAAAGATGAAACCACAATCAACAGACTTCGAATAGGACACACACATCTAACGCACAGCTACTTGATGAGCAACGACGAACCTCCATTATGCGACACATGCAGAGTCCCCCTAACGGTAAAACATATCATCACCGAATGCCATAAATACAACCAGTACCGCGATCAATTCCACATCTCCGAACAAATCTGTCAAGCACTTGGACCAAACCCACAGGACACTAACAACTTAATTTTATTCCTTAAAAAATCAGAATTGTATAACTTAATTTAAAAAAAAAATTATGAAATATATTATTGTAAATACCTCTTAACTTAACACCTTGTACTAATGACCTAGATGTCGATGTATTCAAGATCAATAAAAAAAAAAAAAAAAAAAAAAAAAAATCTTAAATGTATAGAATATTAAATTGTATATATAATATTATATTTATAGGCAATAGGTATAATATGCATAATATTATAACATACTACTTAGTTACTTACTGAAGAAAGAAACACCAAATAATATTATAATATTTTGAAATAAAAATGTATTTAAAAATAATAATTAATTCACTTGAAAATTTTAAACATCTAATATATTGGACTTAACGCATATTTTATTATTTTAAATTGCATTTAAGATGTCTTGTATTTAAATTAGAAATACGCTATTATTACATCAGAAATCGGTAAAAAAAACATAATTATTATCTATAGAAACAAAAAAATTAATTTTTACGAAATATGGAGTTATTCTGTTTTGGCTTAGCACGGCAGTATATATTGATTATTGGTAATGTAAATAAGTGTAATATTATTAATTATGTTCTATGCTACAGAAAATCTGTATGACGCTGATGACGAAGACTCGTCATCAGAAAGCGAATCACTGTGATTCAATCACATCACATGGAATACATTTGTTTGACCCACATGTTACACGTCACTCGCAAAACCAAAGTAGACAAAGTAAGTACCCATCTATAAATTAGACGCTCTCTGATTTGCTATTAATGTATTACTAAAAAGTATTTGTAGTACTTGCTAAAAAAATTGTCTGTTTACGATACGCCAGTGATAGACCTTGTAAGTACCTATATATTTCGTTACAAGAAATATAATATAAATATTTTTTTTTACTTATTTTTTTCAATTTAATTAGACAAGCATGGATTATATGAATCGTGGGTTTGTGACTCAGCCATTAGAACTCTAGTTAGTATACCAGAGGAGGCTGAGAAATGTAACAAACATAGTAATACGATCAGCAGTGGCGGTGGGATATATTATAATTAATAATTATTAATGGCCCCTGCTGCTAATTTTGGTTCAATGAAGGGTACGGTGGTAAAAATATTTAAAATATACAATATGCTTCAAAGCCTACACAATTTTACGCCACCACTGACCATCTGAGTACAATATGAAAAAAATACGTGTGAAAGAGCGTCTAGCAGCAGTGCTGAGTGAAAACATTTAGCCTGTGATAGCCCTTGTAAGTACTTATATGTTTCGTTACAAGAAATATAATATCAATATTTTTTTTACTTATTTATTTCAATTTAATTAGACAGGCATGGATTATATGAATCGTGGGTTTGTGACTCAGCCATTAGAACTCTAGTTAGTATACCAGAGGAGGCTGAGAAATGTAACGAACATAGTAATACCATCAGAGTATAATATGAAAAAAATACGTGTAAAAGAGCGTCTAGCTGCAGTGCTGAATGAAAAAATATATACCAGAGGAGGCTGAGAAATGTAACGAACATAGTAATACCATCAGAGTATAATATGAAAAAAATACGTGTAAAAGAGCGTCTAGCTGCAGTGCTGAATGAAAAAATTTTTCCTGTGATAGACCTTGTAAGGACTTATATGTTTCGTTACAAGAAATATAATATCAATATTTTTTTTACTTATTTATTTCAATTTAATTAGACAGGCATGGATTATATGAATCGTGGGTTTGTGACTCAGCCATTAGAACTCTAGTTAGTATACCAGAGGAGGCTAAGAAATGTAACGAACATAGTAATACCATCAGAGTATAATATGAAAAAAATACGTGTAAAAGAGCGTCTAGCTGCAGTGCTGAATGGAAAAATATATACCAGAGGAGGCTGAGAAATGTAACGAACATAGTAATACCATCAGAGTATAATATGAAAAAAAATACGTGTAAAAGAGCGTCTAGCTGCAGTGCTGAATGAAAAAATTTTGCCTGTGATAGACCTTGTAAGGACTTATATGTTTCATTACAAGAAATATAATATCAATATTTTTTTTCAATTTACTTAGACAAGCATGGATTATGAATCGTGGGTTTGTGACTCAGCCGTTAGAACTCTAGTTAGTATACCAGAGGAGGCTGAGAAGTGTAACGAACATAGTAATACCATCAGAGTACAATGGAGACTATAAAATAAAATAACTATGCACGGAATGAGACCGTACCCAAGGGCCGCCAGTTTGTAAGTGGGCTGGTAAAGTACGGAAAACTCGGTGGGCCGAATTCGCCCTGGGTAGGTACACAACTAAATTAACACAATACGCAGAATAGTTGAATAGTTTACCATACACAACTGTCGCAACTCATAAGTTCACTGCGTATGAAGTCTGGTATCAATGGACAATGATAATTAATAAGAGTGCCAATCGGTTGTTGTTTTTAGAATTTGTATTAATTTTAGATTTTAGAAATAAAACTATACAGGATTACGATACTAATTAGTATTATTGTTATACACTCACACAACCAAACATATATAAATACATACCTACCTACAATGTGTACGTCCCCACATACGTCTAAATATAAATATATTCCAACTATCAATATTAGAAAAAATGTATCATTGTGACAATAATTTCTTAGTACACAGTATAATATTTTCTGAAAATATTATAAAATAGACATGTTTTTGAGCTGATCAAATATAATAATAGTGAAACAGCAAAAACTGGGCAGCGGCCCATCGGACCACTTTTAAAATCAGACAGGGGCAAATGCCCACCATAAATGCCCACATAAATTTAAAAAAAGTAGGTAATATTATTTCTCCAAAAATCTTGTGTTTTTCAACGATTTCAATTAAAGATTTGTAAAATAGCTCAGCAGAATAATCGCCCCGCAATTCAAACTGGCCGAGATGTTGAGGATGAGCACAATGTTTTACGTACTGTCGATACTCTGGGCACGTGAACACAACCGAGTGTGCTACGAGTTGTCACAGAAGTGGCTGTTGCTTAGCAAGGCCAGGAAGATTGTAAACGGTCAAATGATGAAATTAATACATCAAAATGCTCGGTAAAAATATTTTTGTATGCCATAGTTCATGAAAAAAAAAATTAATTTAAAAAAAGTAACCATAAAAAATACTATTTCTCCAAAAATGTTGTGTGTTGTCATTATTTCAATTAAAGACATTTATGATTTGTAAATTAGCTCAGCAGAATGATTCCGAAACGGCCCCAGATGTCGAGTACGACTATGTTTTACACAATGTCGCTGATCTGGGCGCGTGAACACAATTGAGTGTGTGACGAGTTGTCACAGAAGTGGCCGTTCTGGACAGACGAAGAGCTCTATGCTAAGGCCAGGAAGATCGTAACCGGTCAAATGATGAACATAATGATGACCGAAATCCTAAATGTGGAACTCAGACCGGAAGTTACTCAAAACTATCATGGTTCCGGCAAGCCTATTGAACTGTACTTGACGATGGCTGTATCAGATCTGCCGGAAAAATTGCAATACAGTTCAACGAAATTGGGGTCCTACAGGTCAGTCTGAGACTTTTTATTGATACACCAATAATAACTTAAGAAAAGTCCACGTTAAATTTTTACCCTTACGAATATTATTATGTTTGATCAGTGATTTACAGAGCAGCCCGAATACAGTGCATGTCCTTATAGCCATATTTCATAGTATAAAATATAGTTTATAAAAAGCTATTTGCAGGCACCAACACGGTAGTTAATGATTTAAGTTAAGGACTTTGGGGCAGATGCGTTTATAGTATACAAAAACTTATGTCTTAAAGGGAAAACTTTCCCGCCCTGTTTGGATTTCGTTAATTATTTGTTTATTATGTATAAGAAGAGAACATTCTTTATTTCCGATGAAAACCTGATTTTCAAAACTATAATATTATTGTAGAAGCTAGTTAGATAAGCATTTGAATAATGCACAATATTTATTTCATTATTTTTCCAACGTGTTTGTCCAGCACTGTTTAAAGTCAAATGAAAATTCGGGCTTTGATCCCGGATAAAATTATATTCCAGATAAAAAACAAATTAACAAATTTCGACGTATCAAGAGATTCTTATCGAGATTTTTTCCAGTGAATTAATTTTTGCTGATATTATAATTATTATAATAGCGACTAAAATATAGATACCATTTTTAATTTTTATTGAACTGCGAAAAATTCTGAAAACCAGCACTTGCATCCTTAAGACGCATTTAATAATACGACGACAAGCATATTATCTATCGGTCAATCTTGAGATCCTACGCAATCTTACATAGCTTATTATTCAGTGGGTTTTGTAAGTCGGTTGTACTTGCATAATATAGCCACATCGTTCAACTAATATTATAATATAATATGTTTTTTTTAAAGAATGCGTTACTATTAATGAAAATAAAAAACTTTTTAAACTATGACATTATAAATAAAACCATCAACTAGTAGGTACCCTTATACAACTCTAGATGGTGATCAGAAATTTTAGAGGTACCTACGCTAGGGAAGTGAAACTTGTGGGAAACTGTTCTAGTCCTCGGAGAATTATAGTTTCAGAAAAATAAGCGATTTCAACGACATTCACATATTATTATATTATTTTATACTTATGATGAGTTCAAAGATGAGCATAGTCACTGGCCCCTTGACTGGACAGTTTACCAAAGCACTTATGAAACTCTCTAGGGAACAATGTTTGCAGAGTTTCAATAACTATAGAAGACGGTTAGGGCTGCCTGCTTACAACAGCTTTTTCGATCTCACCGGAAACATCAAAACCGCAACCGAATTGGAAAAATTGTACAGTACCGTGGAGGAGGTGGAGTTTTTAACCGGCGTGTTGACGGAAAAGTCCAGTTCTGGAGTTCTACCCACGACCAAAGTCCTGTCTAACAGTTTTATCGTAAACGCAATACTGGCAAATCGTCTCATAACCAAACACTTGTGGGCACCGGACACGTTCGGTGGAGTCGAATTTTTAACGTTGATAAAAAACACGAATTTAGTGGAGTTGATGAAAAGAAATGTT